AAGCCCAGAGGCTGGCCCCCAAAAGCAGGGAACGCCAGATTTGACATTTCTGGTATCATTACCATAAAAACAAGCAAAGATGAACAATATCTTTTAGGACAGCGTGGGGAACCTTTTTTGGGTTGGGGGCCGCGGGCCGCTGACCCACAGGAAAAAAAAAACAGTCAGGGGCCGCACAGAAGTGAGAAGCAAAGAAACCTCAACCAATTCCTCACTGTTCCCCCGACTGATAGCGAAAGACACTCGCCACATTCCCCTCGCACAGCAGAGTCCAGAGGGCCCCAGCCTAGAAATAACGGTACAGTGTAGATGTACCCTAAGTGTTTCTAGAGCAGAGCACCATCACCAAAGGAGGATCGCCTCTTGCATGAAGGATTTACATATCTAACTGCCTACCTCACACACAATGCTACAACATAAAGAGGGCAGTTACCATGGCAATCCTGCATTATGTGAAACATGTCCCACTCCCCCTCAGCCCTGTGACATGCCAGTAGCTGGGAGGTTCACACACCTAGAAAATCTGTTTAACCAAAGCAAGGCAGCTGCAACACCTGGCTCAATTCAAACACACAATAACTCTGCAAATGCAGAAAAACAAAATATGCAGGAGAAGCAAAGTGAGGTAACTTGAGGTTAAAAAAACAACCTTAATAAAACAGCATGTTGGGCCACATTTCCAAAAATTGACTGAAAAAAATCTACTGGTCAGCACAGGAGCTGTCTGATCTCAGAATACAACGGTGACATAAAACCACCATTGCCCTGCTCACACTATCTTTGCACCAAAGAGATCTCAAACAGAACAGAGAACCAGGGGCACACAATTGTCTCTGCAATTCAGAAGGCCAGGGCAGTTAGACTTTTAGAGAGAAAATAATCCTGAAAAAAGTTGCATTGTTCTGACCCCAAAAGATGTACTAGTGTTGGCACCACCAAGTTAATTTCTACTGCTTGGCCAGACCTGGGGCTGCAGAGGAAAAAGTGGCATTAATGCTGCTTTCATGCTTTGCCTACCTGGGGGTGGAAGGTCAAATTTCATTTTGCGCAGTTCATTCATGGACATTTGCAATTGTTCAATAATTATATCATCTTCATAATGCAGAGAAGCAGAAATTCTCTCCTGCAGGAATTCCCGTAAGTCCTCCAGGGACATCTTCAGTAAGCGTTCTAGTGGACAGCAGAAAACACAACACAGTGAGAGAATAACGGGGTATCATAGTTAGAGGGGAGTAAATCCAGACTCTTTTTGCTGGATCAGCAGTATTAACATTACCAGCACAGGAGATTTGGTTTACATTTAAGTTAAAATGTGGGGCAGCAGAAACAATACCTGGGTTCCTTTTGCCTTGTGTTTATGGCTCTCTCAAGTCAACCTCTAACTCCAATCCTGCAAATATTTACATCTGCATGTAACTTTATTTGGGTGAGCAGATTTCACAGACTCTGATGCGATCCTTGAGTAAAATTATGCTGGTGCATAAATGTTTACAGGTTTAGGGCCTTGGGGCAGTGACACAATGTGTGTGACTGGTCCTGAATATTTCTTTTACACACTAGGGGGAGTCAAGACGCATGTTACAGTTTCCCAGTCTGTTAGGGGATTCCTGTACCAAACGATGCTCTGAGGAACCTCTCTTCTCTCCCGCGGTTCTCTGAGCAGGGGGGATTTGGTCCTTGGGGAGTAGATGCAGAAAAGCCAAAACCAATGTGCCTTTTTTTGCTAGCAAAGGCATAATTCCCCTCTTGCCTTAAGAGTGCCCAGTAGGGGATGCGAGGTATCATATATGTATAAAACCAATGATACAGAGAAAAAAAAAATCAAACACCCAACTGTGGAGCACCATCAGGCCAACTTCACACTTGGCGTAAATGGACCCAGCTTCAGGAGATACACCCACTGTGGTTGTGCTTGGTCCAATTAAAGTAAAAGAAAAAAAACTTTCAGAAGAGTGCTGGGCTTCTCTCTAAGTCCTTCTAAGTCCAGGAGGTTCAATGTAAACGCCAGGCTCTAAGGATAGGCTCATCCCTGCTGAATGGGGAAGTCAAGCAAGTCTGCAGAGCCGCTTACTTTTGTGCAGCTTCAGGATGGTATAGGCCATGGCGGTCAGCACCCGTTCTCCTTCCAGGATGTAGATATCCCACAACCGCAAGGTGAGAGTGAAGGGTGTCTATTTACAAAAAGAAGCAACTTAGATGATGTGAGGAATCTGCCCGTAAAATGTGTGGATTTTGGGTGAGATTATGCCCCCTCCCCCTTCTCCTTGCAAGTATCTTTACCAATCTCCCTCTGAGATCTGAGACTCACTGACTTCTCTCTGTGCTTTTGCCTCTGTGCTAGGGATGTTATATAGCGATTAATCAAACAGTCGTGTAACTGCACAAAATATTATCAGTTACATGATCATCAAGGGACCCCAAGACTGGGGCTGTGCCTGGCATCTTAAAACACCAAGGGATGCAGATGCTGGATTCTGCCAGCAAGGAGAACAGCACATGACTGGAAACAGATGGCAAGGGTATTTTGCCCCAGTGCTATGCCAACTGGATTGATCTACTCAGGAATGAACAGGGACAGCCCTCACCCGGTCAATGAAGCACTGCAGGAACCACTTGGTTGTATAAATTCCCGTCGTCATCTGCTCCTTGTCCTAGGATGAGACAACAAGCAACAAGATGTTTATTTCACTAGACCGGCTCATGTAAAATTCATGTTGCTTTAATACTGATTTCTGGCTGAGGTCCTGGAAATGGTTTGTCAGGCTCCTATGAAACATCATCTCATTTGAAATATATCTCCTGACCCTACTTAAACTACAGTAAGACCCTCCCAAATCCTTGCCTGAACCTTTCGCTGACCCCAAGCTTTCCTGCAATTTCATTTGTACCCCTGGCTTCAGTTGCTCCAGTTATACTTAACCTCACACAAGTGCCAACACGCCACCGAAACGGCATTTGTGCTAGTGGGTTTTCCAGCCCAATTTCCAGACCAGAGAGGTCTGCAAAAAAGTTCAGGGAATAGAAACACAAATGAGTTTAATAACAATGTTTTGACACCTCTGTCCTTCAAGAATCTCAAAATACGATGAGCAAAGGCTGAGGCTTGGAAAAGAGGAGATTAAAGGCAGACATGAGTTGAAAGACGGACACAAAAGAGAGCAGGGAAGTTACCTCTTGGTAGAGAGGGCAGGGCACGAGGCCATGAATTCAAATGGCAACACAGCAGGTTAAGTCTCAGGAAAAAGTTCCTGACTATAAGAACAGTAGGGCAATGGAACAGACGCCTCAGGAGATGGCAGAAGATCGTTCACAGGAGGTTTCCAAAAGGTTACAACAAATCCTGCCGCTCAGCGGTAGGTTAGACTAGATCAGGGCTACTCAACTTTGGAAGCCCTGGGGGCCACAATGATTCTCACAGCACATGCCAATGGCCACAACTTAAGTGTGGTTGCATATACATACAAATAGCTTCTTTCACACAATGCCCCGGTGTTCCCAGCACCTCCTCCCTAGGGGCTAGAAACGCCAACACCCTGTACCCATCTGTTCCAGCCTACCTGTCCACTTGCATCTTTCAATGCTCACCCCGCCTGGGAGATGCCTGGCTCCTGTGGAGCATGTTCCCAGTGGAGGCCATGTTCAAGGGATCCCACCCACGGGCTCTGTGTTGAGCCCCGCGTAAACCCAAACCGCACTGCAGGCCGTAAACAAACAGGCTACAGGACGCAAGCAGCCTGTGTGTTGAGTAGCCCTGGACTAGATGATCCTTGAGGCCCCTTCTGCGGTTCTATGATTCAAGCAGTCAAACCTCACGATGCTCATCTGACATGGGCAAGAAGAGAAGCATCCCATAACTCCAGAACTTACACACAGAAGAGTTGGCCACACATGTACCTGCACGAAAACACCACCAGCACTAGGGATGTGAAAAGTTAACTGGAAAGCTTCACCCTTGATGGGTGAGGCTTACTAGTTACAATTAAGTGGTCAGGCTGAAGCAACCTGTCAAAGATCGGGGGGCTGCTCCAGCCACATGGGTCTGCCACAGGCAGGGGGCCCTCCAGCCCAGTCAGTAGTCTCTGCCCTCCATTTAACTGGTTAACTAATTTTACATCCTTAATGAACATTGCTGTGGTATTAGAAAAGACAAGCAGACAGGAGACACCCAATGCA